TAAATATTCGTATCAGATCGTAAAAAGTGAAAAATATGAAACATTTTGTGTCTCCAAGCTTCCAATTCGGCGCCAAAAGTGGGTCGTCGGCGTCCGGCATGGCAACTCGCTCGTAGTTCGTGAAGTGTCGCCAGGTAGTGAAATAGTTGTGTTATTTTGAGCAAAATATGCTGTTTGTCGTCAAATTAAAACCGGAACTCTCACGATCAAGTTAACTATTAGAAGAGGCCAAAGCAACTTAAGCTTTGCCTTTTTGCCTTTGCCTTTGCTGCGATCGTAGCCGCCGTATGCAAGGTGGTTGTAAAAGGTGTAAAAAGCATATATCCTGAAAGGATCCACGAAGTATTTCAGTCCCGCTCATTTTTCTGTTCTCTTTTATACGCAGAAAACGTTTCATTACGATTCAACCTACTGGAGTGACAAAACTGGCTACGGGTCCTCGTCTGCGGGACAGGCACTCGACACGAATGAAGTCAAGTTGCCAACATACTGGAACACGCCCTTCACCAAGATCTGCCTCGGAATGAAGACCAACGATCAAATGAATTTCATACTCCTCCCCATGACTGCTGCCTCTCTTTACTCGGTGATTGCCGACGGACGACACCGCAGTACGTTTCTGGGTCGGAACAAGTGGAAAACTCTAATTGGCTCAGCTGCCTCTTTGCAACGCAACTGTAACAGGGAAGGCTTCAATAATATCGGAGTTGAAACTTTCCGCGGTAAAGCAAGAATCGGCATACTGGGTAATGAACAAAATGACTGCAACACCCCTGATTCCAGAATCGGGTTTGGAACCGGAGGAGTGAATGATGACTCAAATACCTGTGGCAATGAGGCGACTACTGGTGCGGACAATGGTGACAAGCATATTAAAGCTATGGGGTACATTTTGGTCCAATAAAGAAATAAAGAACTGTTGGGGCTATGGGGCTTATATCGAGCCAATAAAGAACTATTAGACTAGTACTACTATTGGGCTGGTACAAATTGGTCCAGGGATTAGCAGCCACGATGCATCCATGCATCCAAAGTGGATCTTTATAAGACTTTTAAATGATCATATTTAGTACAAACAAGCATGGTGTTAAATTCTGTGTTGATAACACAAATAACTGAAGACGCTGATGAAATAAAGGTTTGAAAACCATTTTCCTTGTTTTGTAACTGTTTTTTTAGGCGTTAATTGGGATCAGCTTTTAAGAAAATAAAGTGAAGAGGGCCAAAAGTCATCTATTACTAACAAGTATCAAGATACTGTCGCCAGCGATGGAAATGAGGAACTCTCTTAAACCCTTCCGCTTAGTCAACCATTTTTTTCTGAATTGTCCCAATTTTCCTCTGTGAGAAATTTGTACGAGGACACACACTGTTAAGGTTTTTTTGGTACATTTGGCGCTAAGGAAGATCGATTTGAGTGTTAGGGGAGGGTGTGTGGTTTAGGACCTTTAAAATCGTGATTTGCTTAGTGTTCTTTGCAACTTTTGACAGGGTCGTCAGATGAAGCTTCACAACAGAGCACCGTTGCGTTACATGACCGCGCCAATTAACTCCTAAACTCCTCCATGTTGGAGTGAACAGCATCATTTCTTTAAATTTGCGAAAAGAAAACTCAACAGATGAGCTTCAACTTCAGAGGAGTGATCTTCAAGGGCGTTAACAATGCCCAGTAGTTTTATGAGCATTTTTCTGCTCGCAGTATCACAACCTAACGATCGACCGACATAAGGATTTCAGCTACCAGGGTGAATTTTGTTTTCTTGGTTTCTTGAAAATTAAAGTGCTTGGAATTTCGCCAGGGCATATTCACAGCTGGGGTTAAATTCAGAGTCATCTTAGCTAAGAAGTGAGGAAGATTTTGGCTCATTTCGTGGTCACTTACATTTGTTACCGTTCCGAATTGTTCTCAACGTACATATTGCATATCGTTGTTCCCTCATCATAGTTTGTTGGTTCTGAAAAAATGACTCATCATGATTGTCTGCAGATCAGAAATCTTTGACAAATAATAATGGAACATTAAGACGAAATCGAGACATTTCAGTTTTAAGTGGACAAAGCCCTTGTACTAGAATAATTTTAAGTATATTACAGTCCTTTTTTCATTTTCTAAAAGCTAAAGATATAAATAGTTGCCTGAAATAACACCAAAAAAATTTTCCATGGGAACTCAAGGAACTAAATTTCAAAGATCAGAAAAAATTGTGCGAACAGAGATAAAATTTTATCATCAGTTCCATTTCACCAGAACTTTTAAGTGTTTCATAAGAACTTCGATTCAAAATTTGTTTTCGACATTTGGTGTTGTTAGAATCGAAACGATTTCTATTGAGAAGATATTCAAAACAGTCGCACAGAAGTTTACAACAGAGTGTACTGTAAATAAATTCGATATAAAGTTTTTGTCCACTTGTTATTCGAACGTCTGGTGGATTCCCTCTTAAACTGTGAAATTGGTGAAAGAACTGACCTCACGTCCTCTTCCTTCACCATAAAAATCCTAACACAGATTTCCTGCGTGCAATAACCTCACTGCATCAAATATACTTCAAACGAGTTGGAAAACAAAATCGGCTCTGTCCTGCAGCCTAGCTATTTTCCCAACCGTCATTATCGCTTTGTTTTCTTGTGAGTAAATGTCTTTAGGGTTAGGATAAATGAAAAAGATTCTCGTATTCATAAGCCTTCGAAACCTTCCACATTCACACACAAGACCTTACATAGAAAATATGCTGAAAATTTATGAAAGAAATCCCCAACAAACTCCTTATGTTATCTTCCCAAAACAAAACATAAATAGCCAAAAAATTCCCTTATATAATCCCCTCCACACTGTTGACGTGTTGAAGGAGATCAAATCTGCTGTTTGAATGAAGAGGCATTTTTCATTACACTTTGTAAACTACGTTTATCTTTGTACTTTAGGAACACACGTACGTATTTTCAACGAGCTTGTATAGCTCTTAGACGGGATGTGGCTAAATAAAGTATTGTATTGTATTGTATTGTATTGTATTGTATTGTATTGTATTGTATTGTATTGTATTGTATTGTATTTAAGAAATAGAAAACGTGTACCGTGTTTCTACCGAGTTTTAGTATAAATCTACCAGCGTCCTGTCACGAATGCCGTCCTCTGATTGGCTACGCTACTCACTATCTATTCTGTGATAGATAGTGAGTAGCGTAGCAGTGTGCGCTTGTTAACAAAATGATGGCCGCTTCTTGGCGTTTTCGAGGTGTCTGTGGAGAGTATTTAGATAAAGTTTTGAACGACTAGTTGATTTATACTAAAACAATTAGATTGTTCGCTCTCGATTTCTATGCGTGTCACTATCACGCATAGAAATCGAGAGCGAATAATCTAATTGCTTAATAGAAACACAACTTTTAACCAATCAATTAATGTCTGAAAAATTTTGCCATCAGGACATATTCTAAGTTAAGTTGTTGAACCAAGTTGCTGCTCCCGTGTCATGTTCTCTATTTAGTGTCAGACATGTTGGTCGACTAGTTGTATACTGCATATAATTCATATTTTCCGGGCTCTAAGGGAAGGTGGTTCTTGGAAGTGATGTTCACTTGTTCTCTTCTCGCCGGATGGTCCATCCGAGAGTAGCCTGTGAACAGGTTCTCTAGTAAAGTATAGCAGGGGCAAAAAGAAAGGGGAAAGAAAGAGTTTAGAACCCCCCACCCTATTCCCCCCTCGGCGATTTCAAGGCCCAATCAGTTAATTTTTGAGTCACAAAAATCTCGCTTTTATTACTTTATTTAACTACATTTTAATACACACTTTTAGAGAACCTCTGACTCCGTAAAAACTCGCTCTAAACGGACTTCTCAGTTTACATTCGACGCGATTGAAATTGCGGCCTTAAATTTTTTTCCCGGATTTTGACATGAAGACGTATACTTTGGGTTGCTACAGGAACGCAAGAAATGAGAATGTTTATAGATTTACGTTTTTTGAGCTCTACCCATCAATGGAGTTAAATCCAACCTAATGGCGACTTTGTGCGCAAATTTCCCGCGCTTTCCACGTTCCGGGAAGCTCCTGGAATTTTTGTGGCTGCTATTCCGTCTAGACTACGTCAGAGAAATTTGGAAGCGCAGCTTTATTTCTACTGTTAAGGCTGGTTTTCACTAGAGCATAAGCACAAGGACAAGCATAAGCATAAGCACAAGTGAAAACAGCCGCGACATAAACATAAGCATAAGCAGAAACATAAGAAGAATGAACCCACTTATTTGTCTTGTGCAGTTTTCACTAATGACGCGCTCGACATAAGCATAAGCATAAGCACAAGAAAAACGAACAGTTCCGTTTTTCTTGTGCTTATACTTATGCTTATGTCGAACGCGTCACTAGTGAAAACTGCACAAGACAAATAAGTGGGTTCGTTCCTCTAATGTCTTCTTTCGTGCCCGCGTTTTCCTCAAACATAAATCCAAAATGAGCGGTGATTGTTGATTCAATTCAATTCCGGCGCAGTGTAGACGGAAAAACACTTGATTCGTTTTCAGAGTGAAAACGCCGTTTTCAAATGTCTCCGGATGGACAGTGGGTTGAGGGGGTGAGCAACAAAAAATTATGGCATAGCAAAAACAGAAGGGAAAACATCGTGCAAAGCAAGGCTCAGAAAGGATAACCTCGTTGCAGGCTACAAAAAGGAAAAAAAAAATACCGAGCAAGCCACCAAAAAAATATTTACTAGCAAAAACCCCCCAAAATAATGCACAACCTGAAGTTGCGGAAAAAAATTCTTGCTCAGAAAAATTGCCCAAGCCTCAACTTCAAGAATGTGTAAAGGACTTCTTACTTACGCACGTGCTCGTCACATGACAGTGATTTCACAAAGCATTTCATTTGTATCTACTTGACTTCCAGCTGAGTGTTCTGTTAACCTTGGGCTGTTTACAGGAAGTAAATTTCATGAGAAACAAAACCTACCAATATTGAAATTTCATTCAGTAAAAATGTTTGTTTATCTATCACAGAATGACGATTTTGACGATCTAATTTATTCAATTATAACAAAATTGGGCTGTGGTACAAAGGCATAAGTTTTGATTTAATTTAGAAGCTATTATAGGTTATTACAAAAGCATAAACAAACGATATGCAAATCACATCTCTATCCCTCAAGGAAAATGTTAAAAATTCCTAAAAATTCCTAGACTCGACTTTTGTCGTTCAAAACAACTGAGGCGTACAATAATGATTCATTTTTCGGCGAGAACTTCGACAAAAATGAAAAACCAAAATATATTTTTGTGGTTTGTTGAAAGATATTAAAACGGCGAGATTTAATGCTCACTTTCACAGAAAAAGTTACGTCAGTTTAAATTCATTCGCTTTTGAATAAATTGAGTTAAATGGATCAACTCCACAATAAAAGTATGTACAAGTACACGACATTCTCAAACAATCTAATAGCCTGAGGCGACCTCTACGTAAAAATAACTACACCGCAAGAAGATAAACATTAAAACAAGTCAACGTTCGTATTTTGGCTCTTCAAAAACAAATTTCCCTAAAGCAATTAAACATAGTATTTGTTAAGCGATATTCACAGCAAAAATAATAAGACTAATTAAGGAAAAAATTGTAAAATATTTAAAAAATGAGAATTAAATATGAATTAAATACTTTTGCCAGAAGCTAGTGATCAGTCATTCTAGCTCATTCTATTTTCCTACACGTAGCTACTAAAACTCCACCGAAAACAATTTCTCCTCATAGCGGTATTTTTAATTTTTAGTTTGTTGTCTTTAAATGCCGATAACTGCGATGGCATAAGCATTTCTTCCTTGCGGCAGTTCCAGATATGTTTCCCATCGGTTTAGTTCAAAATCAAAGGCGTAAGCAGTATTTTCACCTCCATCGGCGCCAAAGACAACCAACATGTTTTGCACGATTTTAGCCCGGCATAAAGAATATCCCACGGGTATGGGAGGCAAATCTAGCCATACGTGACCTTCCAAATCGAATGCTTCAACGTCCAACACATCTGTGCCGTTTTTATCGCAACCTCCCACCACAATCAGCTTTTTCTTCCACGCCACGGCAGTGCAGCCGTAGCGCTTTCTCCTCATGGGGGGCAATTTCGTCCATTTTCCTTGTTCCCCGTCGAAAATTTCGGCGGAGTTCTTCGCGCTGTTGAAGTAGAAGCCGGACCCGCCACCGGCTACTAGCAGTTTGCGACCGATAATTCCTCCTCCGAAGTTGCATCGGGGCTCTAGCATAGGCGGCAGTGTAAACCATTCTTTCTTATTCACGTTGTAGAGCTCCACACTGTCTAGCACACTGCCTTGGTCGCAGCCTCCAGCCACTAGTATCCCATGCTCTGTCCCTGTTGCGTAACATCCCCAGCGCCGTTTTCTCATATGCTTGAGTACCTGCCATTCGTTCGTCACCCAGTCGTACATCTGCACAGTGTTGAGGGCCTTCCACCCGCCAAACCCGCCCACCACAACCAGTGCAGGGACAGCTGTAACTGCCGTGGCATAGCAAGCCGTGGTTTTCACCGGTAATGGAGCGATTTTTCGCCATTGCCTGTTAGTGCAGTCGTACACTTCAACAGTTGCCGTAGGTTCGCTCCCCTGCCCTTCTGCAGCCCCTCCGATGACGAATATGTGTTCGTGTAACTCGATGATGTCATATTCGCGATCGAAATCAATTTCCTTCCCGGTTCTTGACTCTTCCGTTTCCTGAATATCAACTTGAGCAGCTGTGTCACGCATAAATTTCGCCTGAAACTTTTCTTTCAGTTCAATAGGAAAAGCGATTACCGAATCAAACTTTTCTCGAAGTTTCTCTCGGGTCTTCGCGAAATCGAACTCGTCATGTTTTTCTTTGGGTTTCTTCTTCTCGAACGACTCTGTTTCGAGGAGTATCTCTGGTTCTTTAGTTTTGGACCAAATAGCTTCGGGTTTCTTCGGTGGCTCGCTTTTCTTGAAGGGATCTCCTTCAACATTCTTGTTATCTCTCTGAGGCAAAGACCGAAGCCATATTGAAGCATCTCGCAACACATCGACTGCTCGATCCATGTTTATCTCGACATATCAATCTTCTGCTAACGAATCTTTTCAGAATTGTCTTCCGTCGACACCTACTCCAAGCGGAAAACGTTCAATTTGCAACAAAAAAGGCAATCACAACCGCCACTTGAGAGTTAATTCAACCGCGCTGTCCAGTTGCTTTTAACCCAAACTTGTGGCTAGAAGGACTTTGATCTTCAGTTACACGGTGTCCAAGAAGCTTCAAGAGATCACTGTATGCAAATTTGTGTTTTTTTTCGTTCCTCTTGAAATACCACACACAAAGCGATTTTCGTGTTGATTTATGTACGAGCGATAATTCTTTTAAATTCGTAAAACGACGCGGCTGGTAAAAAATAACCAAGCACAAACTTGGTTTACCGGTGAATGAAAACGACATTTTCCATTTGCATTAAAGTTGCTAAGTAATTATTTCTAGGCCAAAGATCGCGTGTTATTTACATATCATTGAATAAGTCTATTTTTGCAGAGGAAGTTTTAACCGTTCCATTGACGAGTAAAATTGGTATTTTTAATACACAGAATTTAACAGGATGAGTGGTATCGATAAATTGATCAAACAAATCTAATGATTTTTGGCCAGCTGAAAATTGAAAACTGGAAACGAACGTTACACCTACTTACTCGATATCTGCATAATTTTCAAAGCAGCTGTCATAAAATCAAATACTTGCATATTCCTCCAACAGATTATTTTCGATGAGGCAAATTTTCCCGCCCTCTTCAATGTTCCTGTTGGCGCGTAAAGTAAACACATGTGCAACAACAGCACGGAAAAAATTGTCCAAGTCGTAAGTTGAATTTAAAACCTAAAATTCCCAACAGAATTCGACACTTTTTTCTCCTTACAGTATGAATATAATATCAAGTGGACAGGTAATGAAAATATAGGCTCCGTGTAGAGGTGGACTCTTTCTTTTCACGCGGAAAAAGTAGAGAGCTTACGTAAAACATGACGGCAATGAACGGCAGCGAGAATGTCACTGAACAACGCGCTTATGAGCAGAACAAGAAGTGTAGCAGCCCTCGTAAGCTGGTTATTCTTTTGTTTGTTAGCAGCTGTTATAATTTTGGTATTAGGGGCATTGATTCTGTTGTTTGTCCTATTGTCCTCTCAAAGGGTAACAAAGTCGACCGTTCATTATGCACCTTTCTACGTTTCGCCGGTAACCGTCCTTTGCAAATCAACAACGTGAAATGACCAAGTTTCTTGAAGAACGTGAAAGTATTGATATAAATACATTTTCTAAAAGGAGTCGTCCTCGCCGCCGCCGTCTTTTTCTCGGTTTTTTCTGTCTTCAAAATATGACGAATCGCGCGAATCGTAAAATACATGAGTAAACAGGTGCTAGAACACAACCAAGTTAAAGAAAATCCTTCTTTAATTGAAGTAAATGGAGACTGCAACTTTGTCACAATTTCCTCTCACTTTTAATTATCACGTTAACTTATATTGCTTGGAAAACTCCGAGAATAAAGAAAACGTTACGAGCACGCTTGAACACCGAGGACCCAGCCATAAGAATCTTGATTTTCTTTATCTTTTACCATTTAATTTTATTCCGTTCATAACAAATTAGCGATTAACGAGACAACTTTAAGGCCCCGACCACACTTCGCCGGGGGAATTTGAAAACGTTTTATTTCTACGGTTAGGCCTACCGTCCACACTAATCCGCCACGGAAACAGGACTTCAAAAACGCTCTTCAAACCGAAGGAATTTGAAAACGCCGGCTTTGTGTTTTGGTGCCGGACGGAAAACACTTTTAAAGCGGAGTTTTTCGAAAACGATAACATCGCGATAATCGTGTGATTTACCTGCCCGAGTTTTCTTCAAACACAAATCCAAAATGACCGGTGATCGTTGCGTTTTCAATTTTCTCCAACGTACTGTGGACGGAAAACTTTTGACGCGTTTTCAGAGTGAAAACGCCGTTTTCAAAATTCTCCGGCGTAGTGTGGACAAAGCAATATTCAACACAACTTTCAGAATTCTCACAGTTTATTATCCATTTTCTCCCATTCAATTTCACTCGTTCAGATCACAGGATTCTGAATTAAATAAATCAATTGTTCATACACAAGTCTACATTCACATCATTTAAATACTATCTATTAAATATGAAGATCTACCTACAATCATTTGTACCTAGTAAAAACCCTATATGAAAATAAAAAGATGAAATGATCATGGAAACTAACTACAAAATAAAATGCTTCAATATTACAGTGGAAGGAATTGTAAGTAATCTAGAATGATCCACGATGGGTTTTTGATTAAATATTGGCAGAGATGAAAGACATTTTATGGGGAATTTAAAGTGACGAAATGGTTCTTTCATTGAATTGGCTTCATGCGCTTAAAATTCGTGCGAATACGGATTTAAAGGGTTTGGACGACGGAGGCATAGATTACAGTGACGAATCGAGAAAAAAACGGCGTCTTGTCACCAGTTTTTCGTAAGAGAGACTTCCCGTCCCCTCTAACCAACTATAGAGACAGTTTGGCCCCATTTTCTACACTGGAGTGTTCACCACAACCTTCAGCCAACACAGAATAAAGAGAAAAAACATCAGGCGGTATTCCGGCGTGAAAGTACAGCTTACTCTTTCAAATCAACGCATTTGCCTTCGTTTAAGAAAAATATATGACCGCTTACTAAAATCATACATTTTAACTTTGAGGAGCTTAAAGAACACCTTAATTTTCTGCCGTTCTTAGCCAAGATAAAGAATAAAATGTCAAACCAACGACGAACTTAAATAAAGAAGCTACGTCACTGTTTGAGCATTTTAAAAAGTCTAGCTTAAATTTTTCAAGTTCGTTTGTAACCCGTGTCAATCTTCAGCATCCTTAACCAGCCTTGTTCCTTAATAGTTTAATATTATCTCTTTTGTGTTTCTCAAACTTAGTTAACTATTATTTTCAGGTTTCCTTCAATTTAAATGTAATTTTGTATGTTTACAAAATAACTCCAAATACCGTGACTGAGTTCCTTTTAATTTACGCGTTGGGAAGTGAATTTAAAGGAATGGATTTTTACGAGATGCGTCGTAAACTCAAAAACAAAATAGGGTTGGTCTCTATCCAACATTTTCTATGTACAGATTAAAACACAAGCGTTACTCAAGCTAAGCTATCTGTTTAAAAACAATATTTATATTCACTGGAATAACTGTTTGCAGCCATCTTGAATCGAGCAGTATCGGCTTCTGACCAAGCACTCGGGTTTCCGATAATCATACGAATTTGTTACGAAAGTGTCCGAGAGGACTCGACAAAACGACCGAAAGCGTGATTCAAGACGGCAGTAAGTTAAGTGAACCAATAATATCGATGTTAACATGTCTTTTCACAAACTTGGCACATAGCATGGGATAAATGGTGCTGTGTCACACGCTGGACTCTGCAATGATCAGTTGAACGTCGTGACGACTC